CATTTTAACAGAGAAACATGCAGATTTTGCACTTTTGCAAAGAGCTCTCTGCAGGCTGGCAGAGTTCCAGCCTGCAAGGGGCTGGGGGAGCAGAGCGGCAGTCAGGGAAAGGGCGCCATGTCCATATATGTGTGCATGGCTGCCAGGTAGCCTGGAGAGCAGCTCCTGCAACTTGGGGTGGGGGGGATTGAGGCTCCCACAGGGGGGAGGACTGAGTTGGGCAGGGTTGGGGCTGGAGCTGCTGCCCAGCCAGGCAGTATGTGGGGCTTGGGGCCTGGGACTGGAATGTGTGGCCAAAGCCCCAACAGGGATCAGGACAGGGCTGTGGGTGGCTTGTTGGGTGGGGGTCAGCTCACCACCGCTGTGTACACTCCCAGGGGGAAGCAGGGGAACCTGTGCCCCTCAAATCTGTACTCAGGATGGAGGCAAGCTGCCAGCTGCAGACTTGGGATCCTTCCCATGATGCCCTCCCCTGGGGCCTCTGCAACCCAGCAAGCAGGTCCCCGCATAGCAGGGCACAGCAGGGCCAGGCAGGGAAGCTCATTGCTGCTGCAGTCTCTGTGCTGCCCTGGCAATGCACCCCATGCCTGCACCGCAGCAGCGCCCCTCACTGCTATGGGGCAGGTAGGGGACACATTACCAGGGGAGTGTGGAGCTTTCAGTGGCAACGAGCTTCCCTGCCCAGCCCCACTCTGCCCTGCTGTGCTGGGTCCAGCCCACCAGAGCCCCAGGGGAGAGAAGCAGGGTGGGGAGTCTTAGCTTGCAGTGAGCAGCCTGCACCCATGCCCCCCCCCACCCCATGCACAGATCTGGGGGGCACGGGTGCCTCTGCCCCCACCCAGGAGTGCACACAGCAGCAGCAGGGAGCCAGCCCCACCCCTGCCTGAGACTGCAGCAGGCAACCCACACCCGGCCCCTCACCTCCATGGGCTCCACTCTGGCCATGCTGCCTGCAGGGACAGGGAAGGGCGAGAAGCAGGGCTTTGTGCTCTGCTGCAGCAGCTACTGCCACCACCCACAGGTGGCAGCTGTGGCTCCAGGTGCTGCTGCAGGGGGGGCAGGGGGCTATAGACATGGGTTCCTGGCCCTGTAGTCCTGGCAGCTGGGGGGGCCCTCTGGCAGGGCTGGGGGGCTGTGGCTTGGACCTACATCCTGTAAGCAAAAAGGGCAGAGGGAGCTCTGATTTTCCATGATAAAAACCCCAAAATCAAATACCAAAATTTATAGGTATTTAGAATTTATTTTATTATAGTGACTGATGCACTGATAGGCTTCCAAACTGCTTTAAAGCTATAAATGTATCAATAAAACATTGTGTTCAACACACACACACGTTTCATTTCAGTTGTGGATTCTGGGGGTTTTAATCAACACACACACACACACACACACACACACACACACA